CTATCCAGGATAATCGAGTAGAAAATGGGGATATTGCGTGGAAATGGGATGGCCCCCAACGGATACGTACTTTCCTAGTGCAATGTCTTCATGGTAAATTATTGACAAATCTGGAACGAAGGAAAAGAAACATGTCATCCCTGTCTACTTGCGTTTTATGCTCATTGTCGAATGAATTAGTCCTGCATCTCCTAAGAGATTGCCCACATGCAAAAGAGGTATGGTTGAAATTAGGAACACGAATGGATCACGGGAACTTCTTTGTATTATCATTATCAGATTGGCTGATAGCTAATCTAAGAAATTATAATACTTGTGTTGACGGTATTCCCTGGGCTATTATATTTGGATTCACATACTGGTATATTTGGAAGTGGAGGAATGTTAAAGTTTTTGAAGACAAATTGGTCCCTTTGGCTGGTAAGCTATCAATGCTAAAAGTTCTTGTTGTTGCATCGCATAATGCTATCATAATTCCTTGCACACGTAGTAGTCCAAACGGCTATAAAAGAGAAATGCTAGTAGGATGGCAGAACCCTCCGCAAGGTTGAGTGACAATAAACTCAGATGGCGCATTACGTCGTGGTACTAACTTAGCTGCTGCAGGCGGTGTTCTACGTGATTATAATGGATATTAGTTAGGTGGCTTTGCTGCAAAGTTGGGGAGGTGTTCTTCCTATAAGGCCGAATTATGGTGAGTCTTACATAGACTTCATATAGCAAGGGATAAAGGATTTCGTAAGATATGGGTACAGGTGGACAATAAAATTGTGGTTCAAGCAATTACCGCCGATGCATCACATCCATGTGCGAATTCTGACTTACTGGACACTATTCGTAGATTGTTGCAACTCGACTGGGAGGTGAAGATTTCTCATATTTATCGGGAATGGAATATGGTAGCCGATGGCATGGCCAACATTGGATTTAATTTAGATAGTAGCTTTAGTTCTTATGATGTACCTCCTCCAGAAGTCAGTTCTATGCTTTTCAATGACTTGTTAGGAGCGTGTTTTCCAACAATGATTGGAAATTAATAAAAATTCCATTAAAAAATTTAACATATTTAAAATATAATTATAAAAAAAGTTTGAAATATAACAATTATAAATATATATATATATACATAATACTATAATTTTATCTATACTACACATTCTTCTCTAATATTTTTTGTACTTTTGATTTCGATCATTTTAGTCATTATAAATTTTTATTGCTTCAATTTTTCAAAAATTTCTTCTTATATCTAGTTATTGGTTTTCATTTGAACATAAATTATAAACACTAACATATATAAACATGTAGACAAATGTCCAATTGGATTGCGTAGTGGATATTATTAAAAAGAGTATCATTTGACCCCCCAGTTGACTGCTCCTCTAATTCTTTCTGTCGTTAGGTTTTACTTACTAACACCTCTCATACGGATCACTGGAAGATGATATGGTCTAGTCTGGCACCTTTCAAAATACAGATCTTTGCTGGCAGCTTGTGAGAGGATGCTAAGCAGTTAGAAAAACTCTTGCAATGAGAGGTATTATTAGTAGCAATGCTGCCACTTGCCTCTTATGTAGAAGAAAGCCTGAAACGGTACATCACTTATTCTTCGCTTGTGAGAAAACTTGGTTAATTTGACAGCCATGGTGCCCTTTGTGGAATGTCGACTAGGTCTCACATCATAACCCACTTGATTGTTTCCTTAGTTGGGCTAGATTTGCTAACAACGTACAAAATGGTGCGATTTGGAAAAGTGATTACTGCTTGCAGTGGTCCCTTGTCTTTGAGAATTATCAACGCTTACTATCAATATCTAGTTGTGACTGTTAGTTGGGTGCGAGATACCTTGCTTCTATCGATTATAATGTAGGTTGAGTATTTTGTACAGGGCTTTTTGTTCTATCTTGACCTGCTGGCTTTTAGAGCAAAGCTGGTTGTGTATATCATGGAGTCAAGTGGTATTCTTTCTGTTAACCACTGCTCCCTTTTTCCCTTTTATGAATGATATATAGTAAAACGTTTATAAATTATACCTTTGGGGCCATAAACTTTATTAATTAATAGAGATAGTGAAACTATTTGTGACGAGCAAATTATTGAGAACGTCATGAGAAATAACATAGAAGATGAAATTGAAGACGATAGTTCTTTGTTGAAGTATGTCTCCCACAAAGATGCATTCAAAGCAACAATCACATTGCATAATTTCTTTTTACAATATGAGATCACAATACCAAACCTTCTTAATGCACAAAGAAAAGTTGGAGATAAAGTTAAAGGTGACATCAATTTTAAGAAGAAACAAGTAACATAAGAGTCATATTTTACAAAAGCCTATTAATTGAGTCATATATATATATATATGTATATATCTATATAATTTTAATGTATAAGAAGATTATTAATTTATATATAAGTGGGACTTATTTATTTTTTTAAATGTATTATTTTATAAATTTAATGAATTATTAATTTGCTACATTGGTCCCAAGTTGGGACCCGTTAAAAGTATTATTTAATCAAAATTATTAATTTATCAGGTATTAATTTATAATGGTTCAATTGTATATACATCTTGCTTCCAAAAAAAGTATCATTTACCATTCATACAAAGTTAATAAAAATATATCTTTCAATGGGTCAATTACCTGACATTAATAGTTAGAAATTATGAAAAGTCCAAAATTATGATATAATTAATTGATATAATATTGTTATAATTTTAAGGTTTGACTATTTTCACATTTTGCCATTAATAGAGAAATAAAGATGTCTTCGGTTGACGCATAAAATAATAAATTTATATGATCAATTAATTTTCATAACATTAATTAAATTTTAAAATTCTAATATTCTATATTGAAAAGGTTGACAATACATTATTTACTAATTCTACAATAATTATAAATAATTCAATTTTTAAGATTAAATTTTTTTTTGAAAAAAATCATTTATTCATTTACTCATTCTAAAAATTTATTTATTTTCAATTTGAGTCTTTTCACATTACAAATTTGAATTTATGTAGATTTTAAATCATCAGATTAACTTCTGATTTTGACTTCCTGAGCTGAAGTCGCATTAGATTTGGGTCACTTCAAGTTCAGATGGTGTCGAGTGGTATTGTATTTGTATTATTTTGGATTAAGATTCTTACGGTTTCGAATCTTTGATTTTTTTAATCAATCCGGATTAAATGAATTTTTGGGTTGAATCAGATTTCGTCACTTATATTTATTCTTGATTTCCTGTCAACCATTGAAAATTAACGTTTTTAACTTGTAAGACTGACATTTCATGATTTCCAAGGTAATCAAGGAAGAATAAGTTGAGTTATACATGATTGATAATCAAAATCGACATAAAAATCTATATTTATTGTGTTGTACTAAGAGAATTATCCGATGCCTACAAGCATGGAAAGTTACATGCCCAGGAGATGTTTGGTCCCGATATTTTACAAGCAAAATTAAATTACATTTCTCTGGAAACTTGTACATTCGTCCGCATTATTTAGATGGTGTTATGAGTAATGTCCCCCTAACCAAAGAGATTACGCACCGGTACGCTTGGCAGGGCTGGAACAGGCAGGTGGGTTCTGTTTGCCAGAAATTCTGGGTTTCACATTGGTACATTCGGATGTTGCACGTCCTCCGGCTCCTTTGTAGGTGATGTCAATGTCGGCGAGTTCCACACGATCGCATGGCAAACCGCGGCTGCAAACAAGCCTGACAGCTTGCTGAGTTGAAGAAGTTCCCCGAATTTTCTTGAAGCTAATGTTGCTGAGTTTAATACGCGATGGAACCTGGATAAACAAAACTTATGGTTTAAGCTGTTTAAACTTAAATAGTGAGAAACCCTTTTCACTTGATCAGGATTTTTATAGTGTACGAACCTTTAAATTGCATTGGTTCCATGGGCAGTATTCCTGATCAATGAGGATAGGATTGCCGACGTTATTCAAGATAATATCCTCAAAATGC